ACACAATTACAATTCAGGGCTTGGTGGAGAAAGTATTCAGTAATGAGGTAGTATAAAAAAGTGACTGCAAACAAATGTACAGGTCTGAGGAAGGTTCCTCAGAAGAACTGACTTCTATACTGAGTGTTTAGTTTGACAAGGAAAAAGAGATAGTGAAGAGTGGGGGGGCAACATTCCTAGCATGGACAATAGTACATACAAAATTCTACAGGCAAGTGAGATTGTAGGGTTGTGCCACCGAGGAAAGGGAAGGACAATGAATCTGAATCAAAGAATGAAAAAAGGCATTATCTAAAATTGCTGTTACCAAACTAAGAGGGGCTAATATCAGAGAACCTCTGTGGGGACATGGCATGCTAAATTTGAGTATTTAAATTTCTCATTAGAATTCCTTTATTTTTTGTGAAAACGTTTACATTACTTCGATATATGAACTAACAGTTCAGAAACTGTGATAATTTTGTCAAAAGGTGTATTTGGTGTCAAAAAATAAATCAGGATGTAAATGAAACAAAAACTTGAAAGGATTATTGCAGGAGGCAAGCTGGAGGAGAGCTATTCTAATAGGAAGAACACACTCACTGCAAGATCTGCAAATATCTCAAATGCAAGGCAAAAGGACTTTTTTAAGTAGGGAGGGGCTGAACAAGATTAGAAAGAATTGGTATGGGTAAGTGGGATAAAAGGCTGTTACAATCAGCTAATTGATTAGGAAATGTTTTTCCCTCAGTTTATGTTCTGGAGGGGCTGTTGAGAAGGTATTGTATGCTGACTCCAGGTGGGGACCAGGGGTCAGAGTCCAGGCAGCAGGAAGTAGGAAAGAGCCTTAACTGAAGTTTGGTCAAGTCAAAATAGCAGATGTTTCATCCAGATTAGTCAATGTGTTCAAATAATTCACTAATCAGTTATGAGGCAAAGAGTGGCAATTCATGGGGTCTGTATGTAGCCGCCTCATAGATAAACAAATGAAATATTCTTGAGTTTTACTTAAGTCACATGGGGAAGAATGATACTTTGCTGTGCCCCATTCCTGGAAAACAAAGGTATGGGAGGGGTAGGGGGTTTATTTAATTGTAATGTTTTTAGGATCACAGGGCTTGAGCTAAATTCAACTTTGTCATTGTCATGCTGGAGGAGTTGCAGAGCAGCAGACAGACAAATGTGCACAATGAAAAAAAATAAAGACTTTTATAAGGGCCAAAATAGGAAGCTTTTATGTTTCAGTGAGAGACGAGGGCTGTCAATTTCAGAGAAATAATAGACTAAATAACTGAACAGAATCAAAGGACAAACTTACTGATAGCACAGGATCCTACAATACGAAAAAAATTATTCCACAAAATGAAAAAATATTTAGAAATAGAATTCTTCCAAACAGTAAAGTTGTGTTTAACAAGAAAACTAAGTTTAAGATTTCTTAGGTAAAACAAATTTGGCTTATAAAAAGGAACGTTGTAAGGCCACAAGAATGACTTTCTGAATGAAGACAATGGTAGATTGGATTATCTAATTAGGCATTGAGTTTTTCAAGCATGCCTGTCAGAATAGGCTAAGATAAGTAAGTAGAGGTGGCCGACAGCCCCAGTATCTCAGTGATTTAAAATAATATATTTTTTTCCTGATCATGTTATGTTTCTTATGGTTTAGTAGAAGCTCTATTTGCTACCATACAAAGATTTTCAGAGATCATCTCTTTCTTGTAGTAATTGGTCAGCTATAGCCAATACACACTAGCACTTTGTTAACCAAGCTCTTTTCTAGCTCTATAAGTTCATAAAATACATTATCTAACATAGGTAAGAATTTCATTATTTTGCCCTTGTATAATATGGATCACCATCCTTCCAGTTTATCCTAATAGTTGTTCACCACCTGTAGTCAGTTTATAAACCAATACTACATATGTTAATTCTTTTCTACATTACATTACTCAGTAGCTGAATAGGCCAATTTACACTGCCTTACCAATATGTGTAATTCAGTGGCTTAAAACAACAAAAGTTTATATTTCACTCATACTACTAGTCCTTGACAAGTCTGCTTATGTGTTCAATTTTTCATAACCATTTAGGAATCTAGCTGAAGCAGTAACCATCATCTCAATTTTTTTAACCATAATTTCAATTATTGCTTGTTGACATACTAGTGGGAAAGAATACTCTAGAGTATCACAAATCAGCAATTAAATTGCCTGACTAGGAAGTGACAGAGCACTTCTGCTCACAGCTTTTCTGTTAGAACAGGGAAACTTGCATATTATCCTAATGTGCGCAGAAGGAGGAGAGACCGAAATACTTGGTGATTAACCCTAATGACAATCATGGAAATTATGGTGATAGAATTCAGGAAAGAAAAGGAAACTAGAAGATAAATGTATAAGACCTTGATTATTATGGGGAAATGATAGGAGACAAGATATTAGTGGAATAGACTAATTGAGATGAGCTTCATACATATGATTTTTTTTTTTTTTTTTTTACATGAGAGTAGAGGAGTAAAGGTTCAGAAGTGGCACTGAGTAACAAAGTAATGCTGATTTCCTCACCTCCACACATGCCTCACTGTTTTTTTCTGATAGTGTATGTAAATGATGGTGTGTGGCCCTCTAATAAAGAGGGCCTTTAATATCAGTAACATCTTTAGCAAATTTCTAGGTTGAGTTAGGAAAAAAAATAAGATCTTTTTATTCTACAAGCTTTATTATATTATTTGTAATAAGAAGGAAGTTTCAAGAGATATTAATGGGATGGAGTTTGGGTTAAGGTCATAGGTGGAATAAATCAGACTTGAAATCTCACATATAACTGGTCAATATACAAAATGATACAACCATTATGAAAAATTATGTGGTAGTTTTTTATAAAGTCAAGCATATAATTATGTATGCATTCCAGACATTTCACTTCTGGATATTTATCCAAGGGTAAAAAAATCTATGTTCACACAGATACCTATGTATGTATATAACAGTCTTATTCAAATCACTCACAGTGGGAAACATCCCAAGTGCCCCTCACCTGGGAAATGGATAAACAAATGGGGGCACATCCATAATGAAATGCCACTCAGCAATAGGAAAGGATGAGCTATCAATATACAAATTAAATAATCCATAGTCATAGATTACTGGTCTTTCAAATCTCATCATGGGGTCACAGATATTTTCTAAAATACTGATTTGTAAATGGAATTGTGTAACTTCAATGAATATAAAGGGCCATGACACTGGACACTGTGTAAGTCTTTGATGATGGGGTAATAATTTTTTTAATCCCTGATTTAAAAAATAGAAATAGATATTGACATTTTTAGAATTATCCAGAACAGGGAATGTTGTTTCCTTATATAAGGGACTACAGGTCCTTAGAGGGAGACAATTCAACAAGCAAATTCATATTATTTTGGAAACCTAAATAAATCTAAACTAAGGATATTTCTTAATTAAAGAATTAATTAACATTCCACTTTCAATTAATCCCTTATTTATTTGGATAGTGCAAATGGGTACAAGAATTTAATTCTGTCTACAAAATTAAATGAGAATGTAGCTAAACATGTAAACTAAGCACCCATCAATGTTACACATGAGAAGTGGCTGATATCTGTTGTTAGTATCTTCAGTTGCCATCCAGAATCTAATCAATACTATAATAATAATATACACCCGTAAAAGCTCCTACATTTCTTCCCTATTAGACACAGATTTACTCACTAATATTCTCAACAATAGAGTAGAAGAAAACCTCCAGTGTCTACTAGGTATCAGGCTCTGCGTCAGAGGGACTGACATCATCTAATGTAATCTACATATGATCTTTATGCAGTAAATTTATTCCGTATTTTTAAAATGTGGAAATTAAGGTTCAGAAGGTTTATCTTATCCAAATCACATACCTAGTAAGTATGGGAGCTTAAAATCTACATGATAATTGTGTTCTTTTCTCATAGACCATCCCCTCATACTCAAAGACTTTCAAGAATATCTGAACAATATTTCAGCAAATCAATTTTGTTAATTTCATGTAACCAGCAGGGAATGGCAGCAGAGTGGTATGACAGAATCTTCTGACCACCTAGGTATAAATTTATGAGAAAATAAGTTAGTACTTTTTTTTTTTGTTAAATTGTATTGGTAAAATTTAGGCATAGCCTATCCAATCTACAAAAATATACATAACTATGTATTTTTCAAGATAGAATACTTTCAAACACTGTCTAATTTCAAGTCAATTATTTTTTAATTCATTGGATGAATTTCAATGAAAAGTTTGAGTAATTATGAGTAATTAACATTAAAACTATCTTATTTTAGAGAATATTCTATTTTTTAAATCTTGTTTCACCACATATTGCTGACGTCTGTCTCTTTCTCATGGTGAGAGACTGAGCTGGCTGCCAAGACAAAGAAGAGAGATTACAGAGAGAAAAAAAAAACTCTTTATAGTCTTATAAACAGCATTTATAAGCCTGAATTTTAACATTACAATGGAGTAATTACCTATTGGGAATGGAAAGAAGTAATAAAATACGTCAAGTGTCAAGTGATAACTCTAAGCTATTACATCTTCTTTTAAGAGTTTATACGGTCTGGTTTAGCTAGTTTAATTTTTTATGTAACTATTCATATTTGAAGGCCAAAATAGCCTCACTTGCAGACTCAAGGCCATTTATTTAAATTATTTTTTATTGTTTATTTATTTTTTGAGAGAGGGAGAGAGAGAGAGAGAGAGAGTGTGTGTGGGTAGGGACAAAGGGAGAGGGAGACACAGAATCTGAAGCAGAATCCAGGCTCTGAGCTGTCAGCACAGAGCCCGATGCGGGGCTAAAACTCACGAGCTGTGAGATCATGACCTGAGCCAAAGTCCTATACCTAACCTAACTAAATGAGCCACCAGGGAGTCTTCAGACTCAAGGTCATTTATGAAGGCTGTTTACAATGAAGCACATTACAACCTCTGTATCTCTAGGTCCACTAAGTAGTGGAGATATTTTTAACTTACCTTGCTTACGTTTAGTTCTTTTCTTAACTAACAAAAAAGACAGGGAGATTCCAGCATGGGTGTGAATGATCCTCTTCCTGGAAAGGTCACAACCTTTACAATAAAACAGTATTTGGTGCAAGTTACATACCAGGAATTGTAACAATTGTGCTACACTGCTTTAATGTTAAGATAAACTTTAATGGTACATGGTTTCAATAGGAGTTGTAATTTATTATTTGACACATCAAACATTAAAATATTACTTTATAAACAGTCAAGGTTTACAACATGCATTTGAAAATGGGTTATTCTGAGATTTTATTGATATGGGCCAAATAATTTCTCCTACCATGTTTTCCACAATTTCTCTGCCATCCATGTTATAGTGCAGGGGCTCCAAATGTAGCATGAGTGTGCTTCTGTCTCTTGTTCCTGTGTGCTGGGATATGGGGTGGGGGTGTTTACAATCTTTAAACAATTTATGTACTTCAACAGTTACCGTGAAGATGTGACAAAGGTCTTTTTCCTGAAAAACTCTCCTGTAATCCCATAGTCAGTCCAATGTTGCCCATGTTACTTGAACTTGAGTATTCATTCAATAGTGCAGTTAGAATAAAACAGGACCCTAGTTTGTACAGCGGGATTGCCACTACTTATCACCTGGCTGACTTCATGGAAAATGCTTTTGTAGTTAACAGATTTATCTAACAACCCTCATTTTACAATTAATGCTACTGCAAATAGAACCTGTTTTCGATTGTACTTTAGGAGGTTAGATCTAGGTTAAAGAAATGTTCACAGTGACTCGATGTTAGCTTTTTCCAGAAGAATCCACTTTTAGACAATTGCTTCCAGTATGGCTGTGGCAGCTTGAAAGAGGACATAGTCCATTTTGCTTTAGGCTTTTCATTTATATATTTTTGGATAGGAAAGAGAGACTCTTTACTAAGTATGGACACACACATGGGGCTGGATCTCAGGACCCTGAGATCATGAGCTGAACAGAAATCAAGAGTCAGACACTTAACTCACTGAGCCACCCAGGCACCCTTGTTTTTGTTTTTTAATCCAGTGACCTTGTTCTAGTACCACAAAGAGGTTAGTTTCTCTCGGAAGCGGCGACACCTTAGGCAGGTGACAGCTTATCACCTACTACAATTTTCACAAACTTTCCTCCCCTCTCCTCAGCTCTCACTTTCAAAGAATGAAGCATGAAAATATGCTTATAAACTGTAAATCGTGACTTTGATTTCCCTGACAGGAATGCGCTGTGTATGCTGACATTGCTCACTACTGACCCGGAAAGGTGGTGGTGGCAGAAGGTGGTGATATCAGAAAGCTGGCCATGTTCTCCAGCTGAGCGACAGGTGAATTTCACAGCTTCGCTGAAGCCACAATGGCCTCAGCAACGACGCACCATGCACTGCATTATGGGAGCAGGCGCCAGGGCCAACCCATCACACGCAGACTGAACCTCTCACACTGGCAGAGGTGTCCCCACTGCCGTCAGTGTCGTCTGCACAGCCGTGGTGGCCAGCCCGAGCTCCTGGCTCTGTGGGCGGAGGAGATCAGCGTAAACCAGCTGCCTTGGTGGGTGGCCAGAGCCTGGCTGTCTTGCAGTACAGCACCAGATGAGGCCAGCCAGGGGGATTGGGTCAGACAACGGCCGGTATGCACTCTTCTAATTCAATTTCTTTCTTTTTCTTTTTCTTCTATTTTAATTTTTTAAATAATTTAATCCAAGTTAGTTAGCATATAGTGCAATAATGATTTCAGGAGTGGATTCCACTAATTCATCCCCTTCCTATATTCCCATATTCATTCTTTATATATAACATCCAATGCTCATCCCAGCAAGTGTCTTCCTTAATGCCCCTTACCTATTTAGCCCATCACGCCACCCACAGCCCCTCCAGCAACACTGTTTGTTCTCTATATTTAAGAGTTTTGTCCCCTTCCCTGTTTTTATATTATTTTTGCTTCCCTTCCCTTATTTTCACCTGTTTTGTATCTTAAATGCCACATCTGAGTGAAGTCATATGATAGTTATCTTTCTCTGACTAATTTCACTTAGCATAATACCATCTAGTTCTATCCACATTGCTGCAAATGGCAAGATTTCATTTCTTTTTGATTGCTGAGTAATACTCCTTTGAATATATATATATATACACACACATATATATGCATATGTATCCATATCCATATATACATATATATACCACTTCTTTGTGCACTTATTGGCTGATGGATATTTGAGTCCTTTCCATACTTTGGCTATTGTCAATAGTGCTGCTATAAACATTGGGGTGCATAAGCCCCTTTGGAACAACACATCTGTATCCCTTGGATAAATACCTAGTAGTGCAATTGCTGGGTCATAGGGTAGTTATATTTTTAACTGTTTGAGGAACCTCCATACTGTTTTCCAGAGTGGCTACACCAGCTTTCAGGACCACCAGCAGTGCAAAAGAGTTCCTCTTTCTCTGCATCCCCACCAGCATCTGCTGTTGCCTGAGTTGTTAATGTTAGCCATTCTGACAGGTGTGAGGAGGTATCTCATTGTGGTTTTGATTTGTATTTCCCTGATGAGGAATGATGATGAGTATTTTTTCATGTGTCTGTTAGCCATATCTTCCTTGGAAGAGTGTCTAATCATGTTTTTTGCCCATTTCTTTGCTGGATTGTATGTTTTTTGGGTGTTGAGTTTCATAAGTTCTTTATAAATTTTGGTACTAACCCTTTATCTGCTATATCATTTGCAAATATCTTCAAAAAAGTTGAAGATTAGATAGATGAAATTATTTGTTTTGGCAACTAAATGTGAAAACTTAAGTTGAAACCTGAGTTATGCTTGACTCCTGCACTTGGATTCCTTTATTCGCCTGTTTCTCCAATAACAATCCAACTCTCCTAAAGAATTTGTTAACATAGGATTTTGGAATTTTTTTCAAATGCTTCTTTTACAATTAGCTCCCTTTTCCAAATGCGTAAGTTTCTGATTCCATAGAGACAGCGCATTTTAAAAATTAGCAAAACCTCAACACATCATTGTTAACTGGATAAATAAATCCTTTACAGTCCCTCCTTGTACTGATGAGACAATATATAACTTTAAAGGGATTAAAATTATATTCTACATTCACAAAGGACTTTAAGGAAGCTAAATTTTGAACCTGAGCTTCTTGCCTCACCTGTTATTCTGCTTAATAAACAACATCGGCAACAATGCTACACATTCAGATAAATATAATAAAGCATGTTACCTAATTTAGCTAAAAAATAATGATTGCATAAAGTAGTGGGTGATACAGTTCCACTTTGACTTAAAAACGTTCTTCACAGATTATGCCATTAGGCTAGACAGAGAAAAATAGCATTACTATGGCCGAGTGAGGTTCCTGACGTAGGCTGCTTTTGCCTAGAGGAGACTATGACCGGGGCTCCAGGCATGAAACAACTGGCTATCCAGTCCCTACCTACTGGTCCACCGTTAGATACTGACATGATCAGTATCTCAGCACACCTAAAACCAGGCTGATAAAGATTCAGCATGCTTTTTGAATGGGCACATCATTTATTAAAATATTAAAATTCTAGTAGCGCCTTGGTGGCTCAGTCGGTTAAGCATCTGACTTCAGCTCAGGTCACGATCTAATGGTTTGTGGGTTCCAGCCCTGCATCGGTCTCTGTGCTGACAGCTCAGAGCCTGGAGCCACCTTCAGATTCTGTGTCTCCCTCTCTCTGCCCCTTCCCCAGCTCACATTCTCTCTCTCTCTCAAAAATAAATAAACATTAAAAAATTAATTTAATAAAAAGTTTTTAAAAACTACTAAAATTCTACTCTGGTTGGTCAATACCTGTTTCCCAAATCCCCTGAAAGTCCCTCTTCAACAGATCTTTCCAGTCCCAAATCTGTACATTTCCCTATTATACAGCAACAGCAGGTGAATCCTAGACAGCAAGGTGCCTCCAGGACCCCATTTCCTTGTTCATCTTCTGACTGTGATCCAGCATTGTGTCCTGACACACTGGTTAGACAGCAAAGTGTTAGAGATTTTTGTTTAATTATTTATTTTGAATCCCTATTAGTCATTCTAATATAATTGTTAATTGAAGTAATTAGCTAACCACTGTATCTTAATAGTAGAATAATGTAGTTAAAAAATATGATGTATAAGATTTTTAAATAAAGTATTAGAATAAAATCACTATGTGTGCAATCAGTGGCGGGAAGTGTGTGTTGTTTCAAGTCACAGGCTGGAGAATTAGACAGATATAGGTTTGAATATTGCTTCTATACTTAACTAACTCCATAGTGGATGAAAGCTTTCCAAGATTCCATTGCTTTACTTCTGAAATGGAGATGATATAAATGGCCCTTTCTCTGTCGCCCACACCCATGTTTCCTAATGGATCCAGTACCACAGGATTAGTATGTAATGTCTAACATCTTAAATCTCAATGCAATCTTAACCATGCATTTCTTTTTATTTTTTTATTTAAACTTTTTTTCCAACATTTGAAATTCCTCTCAATGAAAGTGGAATATTACTAGTTATCTCTCTGGGAAAAATTCAGCTGATCGTATTCCTCATAGAACATTTCAGAAGAAACTTTTATGTTCTTTAAAAGCTCATGCTCCTCAGAATATGAGCTTGGTGAAACTAATTTGACAATAAACTATTTGTAAAAAAAAAAAAAATAAGAATATGAGCTTGGTGTATTTAGCAGACAATAGATATATTCCATTCACTTTTTTTAAGTTTATTTATTTATTTTGAGAGAGATAGAGAGAGCACAAGTTGGGGAGAGCAGAGAGAATGAGAGACAGAATCTTGAGCAAGCTTCATGCTATCAATGCAGAGCCAGATGCAGGGCTGAACTCACGAATCGTGAGATCAGATTTCATTCTCTTTTAAATCAAACCTTTCTGCTATATAAAAAAGGGAGAATATTGTGTATGTTATAATAGATGTGGACAGTGTTCTACTGCAGTTTTTTCTGTGGATATTTTTCATGAATGGTTATTCTGAATAATGTTAGAGTAAAACTAGTGATATTATATTCAATGGAGAAAATAAGAAATAGATCAAGTTTTACATTGTTAAACTTGTTTCCATGAATACCAATAAAATGTAATGTCAGTATGTTCTGATCTTTTCAGTATATTTGGGGGAAAAAGTTTTTATTCATGAAATGTCTCTTTTTAGTTAAAATTGTGTTAACATATGCCATAGAAAAGGACATCATGTTTTTTGGTGTTTCTTTGCAAATATTATATGGCCAAAAATAATCTATGGTTTCTGAATAAACTATTTGACATTTTCAGGGTATGACCTGGTAAAATTGCTTACATGCTAGAAAAAATGATTTAAATTTTAAATGGATGTCATTAATTAAAGAAAAATCATAAAAAGGCAAAAAGCAGAAAAAGCAGAGATGATAACATGAACTGTACAGATAAGAAAAGATTAGATTTGTAGAGAAATAACTATAGGAAAACAATAATACTAAATGCTGTAAAGAATTTTTTAAAAATCATTTTTAAATGGAAAATCAAAGTGAACTTTGATGCAGTTTTAAACTCTACACTTGATTTGGGTTAAATGAAACCAAATGAAAGATGTTGTCATAGGCCAGTTATGTTTCCATAGTTTACTGGAAAGGAACTAGATGTATTGATGGGTAAGTGACTGATATCAAAACTGGATCTATATCTAGGATGCTTAGAGGTTAGTCAGATTAAAGGAAGCATGTTTGCCAAAAGAAACCTGGGCCAAGGTCAAGAGGTTAGAACATGGGGAGATGGAAGTGGAGGTGCCTGCAATTTATATTTGGGAGTTTTCGAATGGGAGATGGTGTTGAAGGACAGGGAAGATGAAATTGGTAAGTAATTGAACAGGAACACACAGTAAATGATAACTTAAAAACATATTAAGAAGTTTGATTTGAAGTAAGGAAAAGAGACGGTATTAAAATAGCAGAGGAGTGACATGATCTAGTTTGCTTTGTGGCAGAATGAGGAGAATGTATCAAGGAGACTAAGACTGGATTCTGAGGGACAAAATAGAAGGTAATTGTGGAACTTGGGTAGCTATGACGTTAAACTAAACTGAAGTGGCAGCTATGGGCAGTGGAGAGGAGGAGAGATTGGAGAAAGACTTTAGAAAACAGAATAAATTGTACTTAGCTACTGCTTAGAAGAGGCCTAGGGGAAGAGAATGAAAAAAGATGCTTCTTAAATCTCTAAAACCTTTCCTAAAAACTCTTGGCTTCTCATTACTATCATTTGGGACTTTAATTTTTAAAATTGTTTAAAATGGTTATCTCATTTTTGGCTAAATT